GTTGGAGCTTCTTTCTGATCCGTCTGCTTGAGCTCCTGCCTCTTCTTCTCCATCTCCTCCTCTTCACTTATTTCAGCTTTTTCCTTGATGACATGAAACATTCTCCATCATCTAAAAGCTATAAACATCCAAACAATGATGATTTATCCGTTAACATATATAAATATCAGCAGAATCTGGAGTGGGAGACATTTCATAGGAGTTTCAGAATGTTCGCCCAGAGGTTAAAGGTCAAAGCACAGACAACTGATGTCAGCAATGACACAAGAAACCAGCGGGTTCTTAAACGACCTAAAAGCAAGAGCTTCATACTGTTGTTTCTTCGGAAAAACTGACCGGAAGCTCACATTTAAATTGTAAAGCTACTAAACTAAACGGTTAAATTAGTTTAAATGATGCTAGTTTTAGGCTTTAAACGCCAGAAACCTTCACGTACCCAGTCTGACCGCAGTTAAATCCGGAAATAAGCTCTTCTTTACTAACTTTTAACTAAACGAGCTAAACTCGGACTGCTGCTGCTCCGTCACTATGGTAACAAAAGGACGAACCGACGTGACGTTGAGATGCGTTCGCGTACCCTCGGAGATATAACGTTGGACCTAAATAACCATCTAAAGTCGTTTCAGAGCTACATTGCAAAAGTTTTTTATTTGATTCACTTAGTGAAAAAATCAGCGACAATGACACATTTCTAGCAGATTAAGATAAATAAAATACCTGAGCAACGTTCAGTTCTGCTGTTCCCATCCCACCAGATCTTTGAGGAGCGGGTGTTGAGCCCAAGTACGTTGCCGTGGTTGACCTACTTCCGCATTAGCTTCGAGGCTCAGTTATCAAAACAGCAAATGTTATAAAATATACATAGATATCGTGTTTCTCCCGTGTTTAATAGGAAAATAAAGTCACACTCTCATCTGACAACACAGCTGACCTAATGTATTTTAAATATTGAGATTGTTTTATTCTTCTACTCTAGAAATATACTCCTATTAGCTGAGAGGGTTAACTTAGCCAGATGGGGAAAGTTTTGAAGGGGAACATATCTATACTAAACACTGTTTCGAAACAGGGTAGACATATCGGCCATTCCCATCTGTACCGGGACGGCCCGGGCCGGGTAGCGTAGGTTGATTACACATCTGGGTGGCCTGGTATTTTTCCGGGCCAACCAAGGCTCATTCTCAGCCCTCTTCTCTATAGGTGGGGGTCTATGCTTCCCCTCCACTGAGCGCCCTGACTTAGTGTGGAAGACCTGATGCTGCCGGGACAGACGGCTCCTCTGATGGCGTTTCCTTGCGTTACCATACTTGGCTCATCTGGACTCAGCCTAATATAATTTTTACTTGTGTGTGTGTGAGTCTGTGTGTGTGTGCGTGTGATTGCATATGTTTGTTAATGTTTTTAACCTGTTATGGGAATCTGGGGTCATTTTGTAAAGCACTTTGAATAACACTTTGTTTGAAAAGCGCTTTAGAAATAAAATTTGATTGATTGATTGATTGATTCTCGAGGGGGTCTGCTTCAGGCCGACCAGGGCCAACACACCCACTGCTGACAGCAAATTCACACCTTCCATTAGAGCAAGCCTCTGATTGGTGGGTAGAATCAGCCCACATGGGCTTAAGACAAGGATGTGTGGAATCAACCGGGCCAGGCTGGGGCCGACTGGGGCTACCCGGCCCGGGCCGACCCGGTACAGAGGAAGTCACCCCCTACCAGAGTCTTACTCCACTACTTCCTGTTTGAAAAGTGCAAAAAATGCTGTTGCCTGGCAGACCAAGTGGGCGGAGCTGCTAAAAAATACACACACACACACACACACACACACACACACACACGCTCACAACGACATTATGACATCATTTGGTACCAGCTAACATCATAGAGTACCTCTTAGCCAATAGCAATGGCAGAATTTAATTCAAATGCAGTGTGACAGTGACTTGGTGGTGACTTGGTCTTTAATTATGAATATAATTAGAAAGTTACTAAAACAAACAAAAATAAAGCAGTGACTTTGACAAGCAAGACAAACGGCAGAAATGAGCTCAGATTACTGGTTTAGCTGAGCAGCAAACATAAATACATTAGGCTGTATTAATATAAAACTTTTTTAACCAATTCAATAGTTTTGTTGGCTTAAATTAAGCAACCGATATTTTCTAAGACAAGTTTAAATCTTAGTAAGTAAAAATCTTTATAAACTGATCACTTTTTGAGAAGAGTTTCTAACGCTAAATAAAATAAAAAACCAGACCCCGTGATTGATGAACCCCTATTTTATAGCACCTTTAACCTTTTATTTGGACAGCCATGTCTGCTAGTCTCTAAAACACAAATACATTTATTCACTTGTAAACAACCTCTAAGGATGTAAACAGATAGTAAATAGATTTGAATAGATCACATTTTATTTATTTAACTACTGTTAATATACTTCAACTAAAATATTTGCTGAAAATTCAGAATCACACAAGGAAACTCAAAGCTCATCACTGAGACGTCGGAGTCTGAATCAGAAGGGTTTTATTGTGAAAGAAACCCCAACATTGGGAAATGGTCCTGCCATCTTGTTAATTTTTGTAGTTTCCGTTCTCTTTGTAGAAGATCCGTCCGTTTGGCTGCTTGGTCCAGCTGAGGTTCACCTTCGATTTCACTCCCTGGTCCTCTAACTTCTGTTTGAGCTGAAACAGGAAACATCATTTGGCATCCTGGAGGTCAAACCCCCCTCAGTCCCGCTCTACTCTCCACAGAAACGCCTCTGAGGGAAAACTTACGTTCCTTCTGCGTTCAAATGCCTTTAGCACAAAATTCAAACAAAACATCTTAGAAAGCAGGATGGAAATCACATCATAACTGTCATCAGTTGTAACCTCTGTTTCATTTTTTTATTGATCTTTTATTGGTCTTTTGTAATTTTTTATTTTTTATTTCTGGAGCTTGTCCCAGAACTGATTCAATCAGAAATCCAGACTCCAAATAAAGGGATGTCATTGAAAAGAAATTTAAATTCAAATCAACTTCTGGACAATACAATTAAACAGCCAGTTCAACCAGAACTAAACTTTGAACAGAGACGCTCCTGGACCGGACTCACCCCCACCAGCAGGCTTTGCAGAACAGCAGCATCATTCAGGTCCAAGGAGGAAGTTTTCAGCAGCCGGATCCTAATCTCCTGCCTCGTAAACGGGATTGGGTCTGAATCAGTTACAGGAGATCAGATGTTAATGAAACCAACACACACACACACACACACACACACACACACACACACACACACACACACACACACACACACACACACACACACACACCCACACACACACACACACACACACACACACACACACACACACACACACACACACACACACACACACACACACACACACACACACCAAGTATAGTAAGCTTCTAAAGGTGAGGACCAAAAAAATTGTCCTCACTTTGTAGGTAAAATGGTCCTCAGTATGTAGTATGTACAAGAACACACACACACACACACACACACACACACACAGTTTATGGCTCACCAATGTAGCAAATGAAAGCCTTCGTCTCGCTACACGACCGGCCTCGCCACAATCCAGAGTCTCCAAAGCCAGCCGCGACACAAGTGTCCGTGGATCCGTCTGGTTGGCCGTACGCCCAGTTGGTGTAACTGCTCTGGCCTCCGTTCGACCACTTCCAGTGATCTCTGAAAAGGCCGAACCAGTACGATCCTCCTGCAGGAACCAGAGAAGCTATGCTGTTGCTCTCTGTGATGTCTCTGGCGCTGGCCAGGTCCGTGTAGTAGGTTCTGCAGTAGCTCTGAGCCTGAGTCCAGCTCCAAGCAGAAGTGACGGGGATTAAAGATGCACCTTTTCCTGAAAACAAACCAAAAACAGGCTGTTACCCAGTCAGCACACACAGGTGGGCCCCATGTGGAACCTATATGCGCAAGCTGTATGGGTCCCACCAGGGTTTATCTGCAGTTTCCATGGTGGCCCCAAAGGGGTTTGCCCACATAGGTTTTAATGGGCCCTACATGAGGGTTTAGAATGTTTGTGGGGAAACCCTGGCGGGACCACACGGCTTGCCCATGTGGGTTCCATATGGGGCTCCACCTATGTCAATGCTTAATAATGCAGTAAGTATCATTAACAAAGGGACCCTTTAGTGTGAAATGTTTGTTTTGTGTTAACAGAAATAGACACAAGTTGCATCACTTTTACATCTCATGTTTTTCAGGATTAGCATCAGGATTAGTACCTTCATCAAACCAGGCCTGTGCATGTCTGCTGCCCCCTGGTGGTGGTGAGAACGTTTAGTGGTTAAAAAAGTTGACTCCTTTTTCTAAACGGCCTCCTCCTTTCATTTGGTGTGTTTGTTTGATTAAACCAGTTAAACATGTAAAACATCGGATTTGTGTTTCGCCGCTTTGTTTACTTGTTCTCAAACAGATTTTATTCGTTTAATCGCTTCATTTTCATTTGTATAAAGAAGACGTCTCAGAGTTTGTTCAGAGACTCACCGCTGACAGAGGCACAGACGGACCCGCGCAGCGACTCGCAGTTCAGGTCGTTCCAGGCTCCAGCGCTGGTCATCTCCACACAGGCCTCTCCAGGACCGACGTTGTCCGGCTGTCCAGAGACCCAGTTCCTGAACGCAGCCTCGTATCCTCGGTAGAAACTCGAGTTTGAGTAGGACCACCTCCAGCTGTCGACGTCATCAAACAAACCGATCCAGGCCTGAACAAACAGCAAACAGCTGACTTGTGTTTGAGTAGTCTCAGGACCCGAGCCTCGGGTGTTGCACGAGTTGTAGTTTCAATCTGACTCCTTATCACTAAGTAATGGGATGTTTCAGCTACTGGTACCAGTTACAGACCAGTGTTATCTAGACCCAGCTACTGGTACCAGTTACAGACCAGTGTTATCTAGACCCAGCTACTGGTACCAGTTACAGACCAGTGTTATCTAGACCCAGCTACTGGTACCAGTTACAGACCAGTGTTATCTAGACCCAGCTACTGGTACCAGTTACAGACCAGTGTTATCTAGACCCAGCTACTGGTACCAGTTACAGACCAGTGTTATCTAGACCCAGCTACTGGTACCAGTTACAGACCAGTGTTAACTAGACCCAGCTACTGGTACCAGTTACAGACCAGTGTTAACTAGACCCAGCTACTGGTACCAGTTACAGACCAGTGTTATCTAGACCCAGCTACTGGTACCAGTTACAGACCAGTGTTATCTAGACCCAGCTACTGGTACCAGTTACAGACCAGTGTTATCTAGACCCAGCTACTGGTACCAGTTACAGACCAGTGTTATCTAGACCCAGCTACTGGTACCAGTGACGGACCAATGACCCAGCGGTGGGGCGGGGCTTAGTGTGTCCAGCCACTTGGGAGCGCATGTTTCGTTTTCAACCATATTTTTCTGATTCAGACGAGAACGAACACAGACATATACGTAGACGCGCCGTGACTGGTGCTGCCAGTTGGAGCTACTGCTGTCCGCCATCTTGGCTGGGTCTCCATTCTTCCCCAGTGCATTT